GCGGCCCGGCGCCTCCGTGGGAGCACGTGCAGCCCCCGGGAACGGGCCCCCGCTGCCGGCCGAGGTTCGGGTGCCCCGGGCTCTGCTCCCGCTGCCGGCCGAGGTTTGGGTGCCCCCGGAGTTCTCTGTATATACAAAGAAAACATGCTCTTACTATGCGAAGAAATCTCATAATGCAATGCACATATTTCAGTGAAACATGGTGGAACACCTCGCTGCATCCTTATGTGAGGTTTTACGTGAAAATGCCTTTTTCTGCTAAAGACAAAACATCCTTCTAAGTTCTGCTAGTGTTTGAGTACAAAGTGCATATCATTCCAGCTGTGCACTGGTTTGCCTTTTACTAGGCATCCTTATTAGGACCAACATTCCGTTCCTGAACTTGGGCCCAAGTCAGGGGCAGTAACGGTTTCTGGCTTTGCACTTTTACTGCTTTGGCAAGCAGGTCTTAGCCCATCTCTTGCTGCAAGGTCTGCATTAAGACCAAAGAGGAACTCCCAGTATTATTAATTCCCACCTCATTAACTCCATAAGGCAAATCTTGACACTGGAAAGAGAGTTTCCACATTAACCTTTCTTTCCCCCCCCCAAGAAAAAGTCGTTGCTATCGGTAAGAGCACCATAGCTCCCCCAGTGCTAGATTTTGTTGGAAACATTGAAGAGCTGGGATAGAGCAGACTTTAGTGACTGTCCACGTTTCAAAGTACAGGAGATTCACTAGAATTTGCTTTCCAAAAAGCAACCTGGCAATCACGGTGTGAAAAATCACAGAAGAATGGCCTCTTGAGCCCCAGTTCCCTGTTTGTTCCACCAGCTTTTCTCTTCCATCTTATGTCTGAGGTTCCCGTCCTCACTCGCTGGCTCTGACAAGCCCTGGGCTTTCTCCCTCTCTTGGTAGTCTTCCCCGCACACCCGTCTCCGTCTTCCTTTCACCGCTTTCCCGAAGGCTGCCAGATTTTAGAGCTGAAAGGGAGACACCGTCTTTTGAGCAAAGCTGAGAGTTCCCGTCCCTGCCCCGTGTCTGAATGTCGCGATCCAAGTCCCTGTTCAGGACAGCCAACATCCAGACCTCGTGGCTCAGCTTGACATCTTGTCACGACCGGCTGTCAGAAAGGTAATTCTGCATTGGATGATTTTAAATAATGTTTCCACAAAATCAGCACTCACCAGAAAGCCCAGGAGTGTATCCCTGCCTCCCAGAGCCGTGTCACCTGCGCTTGTCTGTGGCCAAGGCCATCTGTGACAGTGACACCCGTGTGGCTGGTGTGTGGTGCCGAGAGAAGCGCGACTCGTGACACCTTTGACGTGGCAGTAGAAGTCATGTTTTCAGCGTGAGCCCCAGCCAGCCCACGGGCACAATTAAAAGATGAAAATCCGTGCAATAACTGAGGAGAAAGCCCAGGAGTGAAAGTCTGACCCTCTTGTGTTAAGTTTTGCCATTGGCTTCATGGGAGCCTGAAATTTTCTACCTTGAATTTCCCCCTGTCTTGTAATCCTCCTTGGGAGTTCTGAGATCTAATGCAGTACACATAAAGCATCAAGTGAATCTGCAACATTGCTTGACAGAGCTGAGAAGAAAATGAAATAAATGAAATCTCTCTACTCTGGACAAAGGGTTATCTTTTGTCCATTTTAACAATAATTGGGAGTTTTATTTTGCTTTTTAGTTCTGTAAAAAAATAAGTTCTGACAGCTATCGGCATTGGTGACATATACCATTATCACTACTTATATCAAATCTTACATTAGTGAGAGATTGCAGCCACAATGATTATAGTACTTTAATAAAAAAGAGACCATTTTGGTATCAATTTAATTCAAGCCAAAACAGCTGAACATGACTGGACTGAGCCTTTGAGCGAGTAACCTTCATTTGATGGCTCTAACTATCTGTAAAAGTTTCTGAGAGCCAGCCTAGTGCTACGGATGAAAGGAAGGATGGAAGCCTGGTGGTAATGGGGACGGTGTCTGCAACTCCTCTTTGTTATCAAATCCCCTTATAAAATCTTAAAATAGCAGTTGCCTTTCATTAAATCTGCAGTGCATTAAAGGCAGAAGGTTCTTTTCATGGCCCCTATTCTTCGAAGAGAAACGCGTTCTGAATCCCCTGTGTCTGTCTCTTGCCCCAAGAGAAGCCCTTGCATCTGGCGGGCCCACAGAACTACCTGCTTTGTAAAGCCGGGATGATTACACACGCCTGATTCCTCCCTAATTTTTTTTCCTTCTACGGTTTCATGAAGAGAATGAAAGGGGATCTTGGTGTCACCATTTCAGACTTGGTGCGGTCTTTGCAGAAGACAATTTAGCTCTGATTCTGCTGCGCTCTTTATTAACCTTCTGTCAGCTCAGATGAAGTTTCTCTTGCTGTTATTTCTCAAATCAGGGGCTCAATAGTTCCTTTCTCTTCATCTGTGGTTTTCAAATTTCCAAGTGCCATTGAGGCAAAAATAGCATTTGTGAGCTGTCTTCCAAGCCTTATTTCTATGGATTGTATTTTCTTACTTTAGAAAAGAAAAATTAGAAACTATAGTGTTCACCAAAAGTACCGGAGTGACAACAACACT